TGATGTCTCCGGACTCAAATGCTATCTTGTAGGGGTGTGGGACAACAGGCGACTGGTCTGAGTCCCGGTAGACAGCTGCCAGGGGCTTCCAAATTTCCTGTTGTACCAACTGGAGAGCTTGCAAGTGAGCCTGCAGGGCAGTCAGCCTGCTGGTATGATCAGCAATATCAGAGTCAAAGAAGGCAATGTTTGGAGGAGGGCCTCCGTACAGGATTTCAAAAGGAGTTAATCCATGTGATCCCAGGGTGTTCCTGGCTCGATACAATGCCAGGGGTAGGAGCTGTACCCAGTCCTTAGCGCCAGTCTCAAGCATCAATTTAAAACCTCCTTAATTGTTCTATTCATTCTTTCTACCTGTCCTGAGCTCTGGGGCCTATAGGCACAATGCAATTTCCAATCAATCCCCAGTAACTTGGCCACTAATTGACTTACCTGGGAGACAAAGGCAGGACTATTATCAGTCCCAAGTACCTAGGGTAGTCCATACTGTGGGAAGATTTCTTCCAAGAGCTTCTTGACAACGGTCTGTGCAGTTTCCTTTTTGGTAGGAAAAGCTTCGACCCATCCAGAAAAGGTGTCTATAAAAACTAACAGATACCGATAACCATACATGCCAGGTTTAACTTCAGTAAAATCTATTTCCCAATGGATCCCAGGCCTATGCCCCCTGAGTCTGAGTCCAGGCGGCCTGTTTGTTTTGCCAGCATTTACTTGGGCACAGACTTTACAATTGCTGACAATTTGCTGTATCAGGGTTTCTTTCTTGGATATATAGCTACCCATTTCCTGTCTGCTGAGCAGGGTGTTCATCTTTTTGGTGCTCAGGTGGGTCAGTTTATGCAAGGAGGAAATTAGCTCTCTGGCTACATGTACAGGCATTACTGTCTTTCCTTGGAATATCCATCGTTGTCTCTTATGATCATAGTCTGCCCCCAATTTCTGGACTATATCCAGATCTTTATCGGCATAGTCAATGAGTCCAGGTATTTTTCCGGGCCTTCCTGTTCAGTCAATACTGTTACCGACAAGTGCTGAGGGTCTAGGGCCGCCTGCTTGGCCGTTTCATCTGCCAGGCGGTTTCCTTTAGCTATTTCAGTCTCCCCTTTCTGATGTCCAGGGCAATGTATAATGCTTAGTCTCTTAGGGAGAAATAAGGCTTTAAGCAGGGCCAAGATTTCAGCCTTGTTTTTAATGTCCTTTCCTTCTGAGGTTAGAAGACCCCTTCTCCCATATATTTCCCCATGAATATGAGCGGTGGCAAAGCATAGCGGCTATTGGTATAGACATTGAGTACCTTATCTTCTGCCAGCTGTAAGCTTGGGTAAGCGCGACGAGCTCTACCCGCTGAGCTGAAGTTCCAGGTGGCAGGGTGCTGGCCCAGATTACCTGCTTTCTGTCCATTATTGCTGCTCTGGCCTTTCTTTCTCTGTTGAGCAGGTAACTTCTTCCATCCGTGTACCAGGTTAAGTCGGCCCCTTTCAGGGGTTGGTCTGTTAGGTCCAGCCGGGTTCCATGCATTTCTGCAAGGATTTGTTGGCAGTCATGAGGGGTTTGCCCCTCCGGAGTGGAGCAACGTGGCAGGATTCAGGATTACTGCTGGGCCGAAGTGGACCTTGTCTGCATCCAGCAGGAGTAACTGATAATGAGTCATTTGGGCATTGGAGAGCCAGCAGTTTGGTGGCTGGCAAATGAGTGACTCAACCACATGAGAGGCTAAAATGGTGAGGGGCTGTCCCAAGGTCCGTTTTCCAGCGTCTTTTATGCAACAAGAGATCACAGTGCTGAGTCAGTGTGACAGCCAATATGTAACCAAACATTATGGATCCTGTGTGAAGGACACCAAACCATGGATAATAATGGAATATCTTGGTGGACGCTCTGCCCTGGATCTATTAGAACCTGGCCGTTTAGATGAAATTAAGATTGCTACCATATTATGAGAAATTTTGAAAGGACTTGATTATCTACATTCAGAGAAGAAAATCCACAGAGATATTAAAGCGGCCAATGTTCTGCTCTAGTTAAGACTGAATGTTGGGCTCCGGTGTCTACTAGGAAGGTTACTGGTTGCCCCCCTACTTTCAGGGTTATCCAGGGTCAGGGGGGAGCTGCTGGACCTGACTGGCCTAGTCTTTATCTAGGGCCAGCAATTGGGCCGGCTATTTCCTGGGATTTCTGGGTCTCTTGGGACAGTCTTTAATCCAATGTCCTTTCTCTTTGCAGTAGGCACATTGGTTGCGGTCTACTCCTGGCCTCCTGTCTCCCATCCTATCTGGACTCCCTGCTTCTGGCTTAGTCTGGTTAGCTACAGTGGCCAAGATCTTGCTTACTTCCCTAGTTCGTTTCTTGTCTCTCCTGTCCTCGCATTCTTCCATTTGCTTTCTAAGCCTGTCATCTCTCTCTTCCTGCAACCTACGTAATCTTTCTTCTTTTTCTTCTGGTGTCTCTTTTCTGTTAAATATATTTTCTGCCTCTTTCATAAGATCCTGGAGAGTATAATCCTGCAAGCCCTCCAGTCTCTGTAACTTATTTCTAATATCTGGAGCAGATTGCCAGATGAAAGCCATGGAAACATTGCCCTGTTGATCCGGACTCATTGGATCATAAGGGGTGTACATACGGTAGACTTCCATTAGCCGCTCTAGGAAGGCAGCTGGAGTCTCTTCTGAACCCTGTGTTACCTGGGCCAAATTGGTAGGTCGGCGCCCTGCGCCACAGAGGCCCGCAATGAGAAGCTAGCAGTAGAGGCGAAGACGCTCCCTTCCTGCAGCTGTGTTGAAGTCCTAGTCAGGACAATTCAGGGGAAAGGCGGTATCAATCTCATTGGGGAGTTGGGTTGGGGCCCCGTCAGCCCCTGGAACTTTCTTGCTTGCCTCGAGGAAAACGCGCTGTTTTTCCTCTGAGGTCAGTAGAGCCTGCAAGAGTTGTTGGCAGCCATCCCAAGTGGGTTGATGGGTTATGAGAATAGACTATTAGGGCCGTGAGGGCAACAGGGTCCTTCGAAAAGGACGAGTTATGGGTCTTCCAATTGTACAAATCGGAAGCAAAGAATGGCCAGTATTGAACCTGGCCGTTTCCCCCCTGCTGGAGGGGAAACGCCTGGGAGACAGGCTCCTGAGGCTCGTGGTGTCCTCTGAGGCGGCAGTTCCCCTCCTGTCACCCCAGCTGGAGTGGTGCTGTCTGGGGCAGTTTCATCTCCTGGTTCCTCAACTTCATATTCATAATGTCCTTCATCCCCCACCGGGGCTGGTGGAGGCTGATATGGTGGGGGGTCCTCTCTTAGGAGGTCTATGAGTGGTCCCCCCAAGGGAGGGAGGACCGGCTTGGGGATTGTGGGCTTGGGCTTATGTTTCTCCAGAATAGGATAAAGGCGGGTAGGTTGGGGTTTGAGGGAAGCATAGAGACTGGGGGTAGGTTGCAAAGGGGTGAAGGAGGAAGGAGATTGAGGAGCGGAGGGCTGCGGGGAGACGAAGGGGAAGACCCAAGTAGGTGGGTCCCGAGCCAAAGATTCCCAGGTGATGATATAGGGAATCTGATCCGGGCATCCTTGGGGTCCTGAGCTGAAGACACGCTCCTTAATCTACAAGATAACATCCAAGTTAAAGGTACCATCCTTTGGCCAGATGGAATTAAGAGTCGGCCATTCGGAGGTACAAAGGAGCCGCCATTTCTTCTTGACATCCACCCCCTGGCCTTTGGCCCAGAGCTGGACGTCTTTCCAGTGCCCTAGAGTCAAACTTAAGGAGGTGGTTAGATTTTTGTCCCATATTGGGCTTTTCTTCCTAATAGATCAAGACAAAAACTATACAGACAAAACAGACAGACAGCAGCCCAGAAGCCACGTGGCACAGTTTTGGCATAAAACTGAAAGCAAATGTTCAGATGGAGAAGGCGAGACTACAACTCCCCTACTCTCTAGTAGAGTGGCCTGTTCATTCTCAGAAACAAATTGGACCCCCAAAAATCGGGCCCCAGGAATGCCCGGAACGCGGAACGTCTCCCAGGGTGGCTAAAGAGGAGTACAGAACCCGTCAGCTCCCTCCTTTGCTTAGCCTACAGCGCATTTGTACATACAAATGACTTACAGAAACACCTAACGAATCACACAACGGATGGACAGTTACCTCCCAATTGGCACTGTGGGTTATCAAGTAGGGGAATCTTGATGGAACCGCCAAGATGAAAGACTCTAATTTCTAGGGCTCAGGGAAGGATCCCCCAGACTCAATAAGCCACGCCAGTGGATGCAAACAGCAAGAGGATTTTTTATTGTCAAAGGCGCCTACAGGTGACTCAGTACTCTCATGAGACTGATCCCCCCTGTGTATTTTTTCAGCAAGTATTTATCAGGTCTCAAGGTTACATACTGGGGAAGCATAGCAACAGCAACACCATTGGTCAATTCAAATTAACATATGGGTTGGGTCAACATCAGGACCAAAACAAGTCTTGATCAAGCCAGTTTCTGCCCCCCCCCCCCACCAAGTTTTGATAAATTACACAAAGGACTGGGTGTTTTTCCTTTTTGGCAGGTGCAACTGGTCTCTAGACTGCTTCTGCCACCCACAGATATCCTGTTTTGCCCTGGCCTAGTTGATCATAAAAACATCTTAAGTTGGAGACTAGGGTTGGGGGTCTTTTATTGGTATACATGGATTTACAAAATAAAAACTTTACCACATAATGAAAAATCTGATTCATGATTATTTTTTGTCTTTAGATTTTTTTGAGAATTTCATATATGAGCACTGCATCTATATCGTTCTTGCCCTTCCCTTCTCTCCATCTTTCCCTTTCAAATTTGTGACTTTAAAATATATATATACACACACGCGCGCGCGCGCGCACACACACACACACACACACACTGAAAGCTAACCATTCAGAGTACATATACTGTTTTTTCATAAGTATTGATAAAGCATTTTAATTACTGATACTTTCATATTTTGAAGGAATGTGAATTACGTATTTTCATGTAAATTTCTGTATCCATTTAGGATTTGCTTTCTCATATGCTTCATATGGACCCACGTCAGCGTTATACTGCTGAACAAGTATTAAAACACTCTTGGATAACCCAGAGAGAACATTTGCCGAGGGATCAGCCAAAGACAAATGATGCATCACATGTTGTTACGGTAAAATGAACACACAATGTGTATCTCATGTTACCCATTGATGTATAAAATATCTTTATTTCTTGAAGATAGATTTTTTTAACTGAGTGTTATTTATTTTAAAATTAAAACTCACTCTTTTCACATTTTTTTATTTTTTATTGAAAATTTCCACCTCCTTTCCTCCTCCTATTTCCCTCCCCTCCCCCCAACGCCCCTCCCCCTGCTTCTCCAGTCCAAGGAGCAGTCAGGGTTCCCTACCCTATAGGAAGTCCAAGGTCCTCTCTATTTCCCCCAGGTCCAGGAAGGTGAGCATCCAAACAGACTAGGCTCCCACAAAGTCCGTCAAGTAGAATCAAAACCCAGTGCCATTGTCCTTGGCTTCTCCATCAGCCTCCACCGTCAGCCACATTCAGAGAGTCCGGTTTGATCACATGCTCCATCAGTTCCAGTCCAACTGGACTTGGTGATCTCCCATTAGATCAGTACTGCCATCTCAGTGGGTGGACGCACCCCTCACTGTCCTGACTTCCTTGCTCATGTTCTCTCTCCTTTTGCTCTTCATATGGACCTTGGGAGCTCAGTCCAGTGCTCCAATGTAGGTCTCTGTCTCTATCTCCATCTATCACCAGATGAAGGTTCTATGGTGATATGCAAGATATTCATCAGTGTGGCTATAGAATAAGGCCAGTTCAGACACCCTCTCCTCTGCTGCCCAAGGGACAAGCTGGGGACATCTCCTTGGACACCTGGGAACCCCTCTAGAGTCAAGTCTCTTGCCAACCCTAAAATGGCTCCCTTAATTAAGATATCTTCTTCCCTGCTCCCATATCCACTTTTCCTCCATCCCAACCATCCCATTCCCTCAAGCTCTCCCCATCCTCCCCTTCTCCCTTCACTCTCCCCATCTCCCCTTATCCCCATCCCACCCTTACCCCTGTGCTCCCAACCCCTGTCCGGCAATCTTGTCCACTTCCAATATCCAGGAGGATAGCTATATGTTATTCTTTGGGTTCACCTTCTTATTTAGCTTCTCTAGGATCACGAATTACAGGCTCAATGTCCTTTATTTATGGCTAGTATCCACTTATGAGTGAGTACATACCATATTCATCTCTTTGGGTCTGGGTTACCTCACTCAGGATAGTGTTTTCTATTTCCATCCATTTGCATGCAAAATTCAAGATGTCATTGTTTTTTACCGCTGAGTAGAATTCTAATGTGTATATGTGCCACTCCTTCTTTATCCACTCTTCTATTGAGGGGCACCTAAGTTGTTTCCAGGTTCTGGCTATTACAAATAGTGAACTCTTAATGCTTTTTACTATGTCTTTTCTAATAAAATTATCTTTTAGCTTATATAAATTTCCCAAAATAAGTGGAGTTCGTGATGATTTTTTCTTACATGCATATGTTGTATTTTGATCCTACTTACTCTTTAATGCCCTCTGAGAATCCCTTTCTCCCATCCACCTTGCCTTGTTCTCCCCCAGTTACAGTGTTAGTACCAATAGTCCCTTTGTCTTTTCAAGGCCTAGATACCACATATTGGGAAAAGTGTGTAGCATTTACTCTTAGATTCTACATTATTTTGTTTAACTTGACTGTTTTCAACTCTACCCATTTTATTTGCAAATGATATTTTGTTCTTTTTTATGGCTAAATAAAATTTCTACTATATAATTATTTCAAACCATATGTATGTATGTATGTATGTATGTGCAACTTAGCTGTTTCTGGTTCTTTAACTTGGCCCCTTACTATAGCAGCATTGTAAAAGGGAAAATTTCATAAGTAGAGGTCTTGTGGTGTATTATTAAATACTTTTTTCCTACAGAGATTGTTACTGAACTTGTAATGTTTTGTCATTATTTTAGGAAGCAATGGTTGCAACATATTCTGCCTTGACTCCCAAGTCTTTCCAACCAATTCTAGAGCCTGTTGCTGCTTCAAGTTTAGCTCAGAGACGGAGCATGAAAAAGCGAACATCCACTGGCTTGTAAGATTCATACTATTCCTCAGCTAACTGGATGAAGAGAAAATTAAATGTGTTGTGGGTTGGGTTGGTTTGGTTTGGTTTTTGCCTAATCTTATATCAAGGGTATTTTTTTTCCTGCCACATTACTTAAATATTCTATATAAGCCTCTCTTTTGGGGGTTGGAATTTTAAACAAACACACATAGGTCCATAATATTCATACTGTGTCATTTTGCAGTAGTGTTCAAATGTTTAACTATATAATTGATGTCCACAAGGTCTTAACTTTTCTGAACCATTAACTCACCAAATTCCTTTCAAACAAAGTTAACCTCATAGTATTTTACACAAAAATATTTTAAGGGATCATTAATATTAATGAAGATGCTTTTCATATGTTATAAATGTCATAATGCTAAACAATGATAGTATTTTTAACATCATATCCTGAAGAATAGCTTTTTTGATCTTAAAAGAAAAACAAAAGTATTCTAGTAGCTTGTGCATAGCCAAAGGACTCCTTTCATTTGAGTATGTTTAGATACTAAATGTAGTGAGAGCAGTTAGGTGCCAGAGCAAAATCCATATGTGCTAATATATGAATCCCTCATATGGTTGGTGCCAAAGTTTTGATAGAATAATTAGATCACTGATGATGTGTGCAAACATATTTGTGTATTATCCATAAGTGGCTTAAATCTAGAGAAAGTTTCCATAAGGCTTCTGTTTTACAGCTAATGGAGTTGTAGTAAAAGTGAAGACATTTTTATTCAAAGGTTTCATGTTGGTATTTTAATCTCCTAAATATGTAATAGTTAAGCCTTTTAATATTAAGCACTTAGTATGATGCTATCTTAGTCTTAGGTAAGCTGACTTTGAAATTAACCAGTTGAATTAAGTCATCTTTTCCCTTTATAAATGGAGTTACACTATTGTATTTCTGATTTCCATGTGATTTGAGCTGCAGTGTAGCATATTGATCTACCTTGAATCCTATGGTGATGTAGTTGAAGTTCTATTATAGTGGACTTGCGCACCTAGCACATATGAAGCCATATAGTATATTTCAGTAAGCATTAGATGATTCTACGTAATAGTTGTACTTCAAGAAGATAATCTAGCCAGGCGGTGGTAGCGCACGCCTTTAATCCCAGCACTCGGGAGGCAGAGGCAGGCGGATCTCTGTGAGTTTGAGACCAGCCTGGTCTACAAGAGCTAGTTCCAGGACAGGCTCCAAAACCACAGAGAAACCCTGTCTCGAAAAAACACACACACAAAAAAAAAAGATAATCTAACATTTTAAATAAGAAACCAACATTAATGATTCACACAGAAATAGAGCACATTTAAAAATCATATTTAAAATAAACCAACCAAATTGGTTTTTAGTAAATTTATGGTACAGAACCACTGTATAATAGGTATTATTTTCTTTAAATGCTGAAATTTTAAAATATCATTTTATGTTGTCCTGGAAAATACCATTAACTACTAATACTGACAGAAATAATTTATGAATGTAAGCTGGAGGCCATCAGTCTTGTTTAGTTAATAGAAATGTGTACTTGTGTTGCTAGGTGTACTGGTTGCTGAGCATTTTACTTTCCTTAGTTCAGAAAGAACTGATTACTGAGTATACAAGTTAGGCTAGGGGACATGTAATGTTGGTATTTAATGAAACAAACTATATGTATTCTCTTTAAAATGTAAGTGATCTGTATCCATGCACAAATATCTGTTTTCTAAACATGATATATAAAAATATGTATTCTTAATTTGAGGTATTTTTTTTAAAAAAGTAATTGAACAATATTAAATAACAGATGATCTGATACCACATAATAGCATTACTTAGTCTTAGAGTTATATTTGTGCATTTTGTGTTCCAGTTTGGTTCATTTTGGCCCTTTTTTGCTTATTACAATAAGCACTTGCATTTAAAAATTTGTGTTCATATACTTTGAGTTCTTGTGCTCCTGTCATTATCTCGTTTGTGCACTTACACATTCTTATCAGTGTTTTGTCAAACTCAAAGATACAATTTTGCTGTTGAATTTTTAGGACACATACTATTTTCATATGTACTTTCTCGCTAACAAAATTAGAGAAAATGAAACTAAAATAAAAAGTGATCATAAAACGCCCTTTTATAAACAATGGGTTAAAAAGATTACCATAATTTTCAGTTGTTTCCTCAGAGGGTTGTGTTGTACAGCCTGATTTGAAAGGACCACTAAGGATTAAGCAATGAATAGCATGCTTCCTTATCCCCTAGTGATTATTGACTGTGCCAAAGTTACAGGCATGCCAGAGCATTTGCCTAATTGTGAGAAACTTGCTGTTAGAAATTTCAAATGTCCTAGCTTAACAAAACTAGCAGAAAAGACAACATTATTATAAAAGAAAGGCATGGCAATACCCTTGTTTTATCGAAGTAGGGTGCCTAATCATGTCCTTTATGGCTAGAATAAGTCCAAATGGAATGAATGAAGGTTCAAGTACTTCTCAAAAAAAATAGACTTCTTTAAATGAGTGACCAGTTAAAATAAACTTTCCATAAAATTTTAACATGCTATAGTTTCTAATGGGTTCTTTATTTTGCATTGTTTAGTAGACAGCAGCAAATTTTGAGGTAAAACTTGGAGATGTTTTATCATTCTGGAAAGAGGAAGATACTGAACTTATTTTTCTCAAAGAGAAAACATTGGAACATTGGGTCTACTAAGGTAGACTAAAAATCCATTGTCAAAAAAACACATATTTTCACGAGTGAATATTCAGGAAGCTGAAACCGTTTGCAAGAAAATTAGGAAGCAGTGTTGGTGACTGATTTTCTGCTTTCAGACTTTTTATCTTATTTTGTTAGGAATGACTTTTATTGTTATTATTATTTGTTTTATTTATTATTATTTATTTTATTATTATTATTTGTTTTTTGTTTTCTGATTTCTTACTATTGGTAAGACACCAGGACCTTCTAAATAGCATCTCTGGTTATCTTGGAGGGATTGCATTTGTTTGGCACCCACAAAGTTAACAATGGGAGTTTGGTCTTTCCCACTGAAACATGTCAAAATAATACTGCTCATGGGAACTTATTTGTTATCACTTGATTAATAGTATGCTAACTAGAAGAGGTCCCTCATATATAAAGAAGAAAAAAGAAAAACAATAAGGCAAGCTGAAAATTATACCTTAAACAGTTTGCCCTTTTTGTGCATTATCTTTCATTGTTTTCTAAACCCCTTACTATCCTATCTTATCACCTCACAATAGTTCTTTACCATTAAGATTTACCAAATCCTCAGAAGGATTCAGTGATTCAAAAGGACCTTACTCCTTTCTTTTTTCCCCACATCAAGACTTCAAATTTAAAAACAGTAGAGTTCAGCTAACAAAATAATGGGAAAGCTGTATCACTAAATTAATTTACATTTTCCTATTTGTGCCTAGTAATTAGCAATTTCCAATGAAGAACACTATTAATCAAATGTTTTTCTAGTTGCATGAATTTCAAACAATCTCATCAAACAAGGATACTTTTAAATTCAGTTATTTTTGAACTTTGGGGACTAAGGAATATACTCAGAAGTTCCCAGGGTCAACTCATTCACTCAATCCAATGTTTCATATGTGTGGAGTGCCTTCCTTTCCATGCATTCTTTTTTTTTTTTGTCTCAAAATATTCCAAGCATTTTTACATTGTGAACTACTTCATATCAAAGTGGTATGAAGAGAAAAAAATATTGCTAGTCACTTCTTTACATGTTGTTAAACTCGTTATTTTGTATTTTAATTTCTTACAATACATAGTTAATAACATAAAGACATTTATTCAACCCACTGTTGTATTAATAGAAAATAATCACAGAAATTCAATTGAAAACTATAAATGGATCCCATTTCTAGACTCTTTGTTTAGATTTTAGGATTCAGATTCATTTTATTACTGTTTTTCAAAAATAAGGCAAGCCACAGTAAATCCAGATTGAGTAGTTATGTTTAAATTTACTTAGTGTCTTTTTTCATTTCAATGCTTATTAGAATACTTTTAGTGTTTTTCTCGATATCAGTGATTGCTGAGATGATTTAAATGATTAATAATTGTGTTATCGGCAGGAATGTAATGTCATCAATAGTGATTATTCAGAACATCCACTATGCTCATGGACTGATTTTTCCTCCTTTTAGTCTTACAATCTGATTGAATCTATTCTATAATTTGTGTAAAATAATATTGCTTGACCATCTAAAATTCAACTTGATTTCTAATATGTAGAACACCTATGCTTGGATACACAGTAAATCTTAGATTGCAAGCATGTATTTCTTTGGAATATGAAGAAAATTACAAAAAGAAAAGTACCTTTAAAACAAAGAAATTTAATATTGCTTACATTATATTAGAAAATATATACATTTTAGTTATTGATTAAAAAAATACCCTTAAGCTAAATGTTTAGAAGTATATGTCTCTGAACATATACCAAGTAAAGGTTTGCTTTTTATTCTTATTTCTAAACCATGAACAATACCTCCTGGGAATGACAGTGTTGCTTTTCCTTTGTCTAGTTATGACTATTAGTTATTCTTGAAAATAGTTGTTAAATATCCAATTTTATTTGAGAGAGTTATAGAGAATATATTAATATGTACGTTTACTTATTAATAATTGACATTATTTAACTAATTTGTTGCCTTTTTCTTTTAATCAACTAATATTGCTCAGGTAGGAATTTACTTCTCACTTAAATTCTTTTTTCTCAAACCAATACCACTTATATCAAAAGTGTATGCTTTTCTTAGTACAGTAAAGTTATTTTTATCACCAGGAAAGAATAGGCAGAAGCCACCATTTTTAAGTCATACAGAAATTTTTAATTAAGTATCCAAATTCCAGCATGGTTTGTGTTTGAGAATTTATCTTGCATTATAATCCATAATATAAAGGGGGGAAGTATGTGGCAAAACAGAAGTGATATTGTTAGTTATGTGTTGGCCAGGATTTATGCAAAGAGAAC